GCATCCTTGTTTTTCTAAGAGGGTGAGAATAACAGACTCTGAAAATAATTTTGGCTCAGTTCTCACATGGACTCCCAGGAAATGTCCCATCCAGGCACCTTATGAGACAGACCTCTTTAACTCCATGTTAGAGTTGTCTCATTTCCAATTCCTTTCTTATTGGGTGTTCTCACCAAGTGCTGCACAAAAACACCTCTTTGCTAGTCAGATGGACTTTTCTTGCCTTCTTTGTTTGGCTGTGTAGGTTACAGATGCATGTAGCATTTCCCTTGTTCTTGATGGATCATTTTCTGCATGATAGAACAAATGTCATTCGGCACTGATCTCTAAAGGCAATGCAACCAGCGAAGTACCGTATTCCATTTCAAAGCTGGTGCAGCGTAGTTTTTCAACAGAGTACACAGATGGATGAACCTTTCTGAAGTACAATATGGAAGAGGCAACATGCATATACTTTACAAACGATTAAGATACAAAGATGCCAAACTTCCATTTTCAAGTTGCTAGTTTCGACTATTTAATTTGGGGAGGGGGGGTGTTGTAACAGATGCTAGTAACAAGCATGCATTAAAGTATAATGCTAATGCGGCTTATTTACTAAAAGCTGTTACCTTTTTTTCATCTCCGGAGACCATCTTGAAACACTCACAGTTATTTTCCGACTTGCATGGTAATGTAAAACAGTATTGTCTAATCCAGGATACTGTATCTTAAGCACAAATATTGGGATTTGGGTTGAATTTATGAGAAATAATTTGGAACTAAAATTACACAAATGACTAGTGCCCCTGTCGTTTTGATTCTCCCTGTCAGGAGTTCTGCCTACACTCGAGTAGGACCCTGGCAGAGACACATGCCCGACTAGCATGTTCTCTCCCTCCTGGTCAATCGTTTGGGAGTTTCAAAAGCTTTCTTCAGCCCAACATCACAGCGACCAATGCCAACAGACACCGGCACACTTAGGGATCTGCAGAGTTTGTGCATCATGCATGACAGACCTCAGCAACTCAGCATTTTGGCTAATCTACTTTATATACATATAAACACACACGGAGCACTGCAACATGGCTCCCTCTCTCTCTAGCATCAGACAGCAAAGAGAAAAAGGACAAAGGACAATAGTCCCACTTCACAGAACACAGTAACACAAACATCCTGTTTCCATCACTTCCCACTCTGTGGAGTCAAAATATATACCGTCATGTGATAGACAGCAATCCTATGACTGCAGTCATGGAGCAGGAATTCTAACATTCCCAGCCAGCATACACTCAAGGTCAGATATCCATGGAAGCTCATAGGTTCCCTACACAAGATCTGTACCTTCCATTTTGCTAGGACCATGCACAGAGATCTGGCACAGAGGTGACATTTAATTTGGGGAGGGGGGTGTTGTAACAGATGCTAGTAACAACAATGCATTAAAGTATAATGCTAATGCGGCTTATTTACTAAAAGCTGTTACCTTTTTTTCGTCTCCGGAGACCATCTTATAACACTCACAGTTATTTTCCGACTTGCATGGTAATGTAAAACAGTATTGTCTAATCCAGGATACTGTATCTTAAGCACAAATATTGGGATTTGGGTTGAATTTATGAGAAATAAATTGGAACTAAAATTACACAAATGACTAGTGCCCCTGTCGTTTTGGTTCTCCCTGTCAGGAGTTCTGCCTACACTCGAGTAGGACCCTGGCAGAGACACATGTATGTATGCATGTGAGCGTCAAACCTGTGGAGCTTGGATATGTAAAGTTGGCTGCCTACCACATATACACCATACCAACATTGACTCTGTACACAGGATTACTATTTCTGAGCTATGATACAGGAGATTTGCTGAAGCATATAAGGCAGCCACATTTTGTAGGAGATGCCAAATATCCAGTTCCATTTGCTGGGGTCACCTTTACACCCTTAAAACCCTTATATACTTTGTGTAGAGAAATAGATGGGAGAAACAGTTGAATGTTATAATGGTAATGTCAATGAGCAGTGCACTGTGATCATATTCCCTTGGGGTGTGTCTGATGAGTCACGTGGGTCAAGTAACACCACCAACCCAATCCTTCTCTACTTCTCCAAAAGGTAATAGTAGGAGGTAGTTCTTCAAATGGGACGCGGGTGGTGCTGTGGTGCAAACCACTGAGCCTTGGGCTTGCCAATCGGAAGGTCAGCGGTTCAAATCCACGCAGCGGGGTGAGCTCCCATTGCTCAGTCCCAGCTCCTGCCAACCTAGCAGTTCGAAAGCACATCAAAGTGCAAGTAGATAAACAGGTACCACTCTAGCGGGAAGGGAAACGGCATTTCTGTGCACTGCTCTGGTTTCACCAGAAGCGGCCTAGTCATGCTGGCCACATGACCTGGAAAAACTGTCTGCGGACAAACGCCGGCTCCCTCAGCCTGTAAAGCGAGATGAGTGCTGCAACCCCAAAGTCGTTCGCGACTGGACTTAACTGTCAGGGGTCCTTTACCTTTACCTTTACCTTTACCTCTTCGAAGCAGAGATGTTCATTATTAAAAATTAGTTCCTACCAGGAGGCTGTGTGCAATTTCTACCCTAATTCTTCCTTGTGAGGCCCAGCTTACAACAAATAGTCACACATTTTATATCACAGCATGCTCCCTTCACCTTTCTGGTTCACCTTCCGATGGACCTTAAAGCACTCTCCCTTTATTTTACATCACAAATTTGTCAAATTCCCTCCCTCCATTTTCTGCTCTAAAAACCATGTGGCAATGAGAATCCTCTCTCTGCTGGACGGATTCCCTGGAAGGATTCCTGTGCCCCTGTAGCAAAACAGACACATAAGAATAATATCGCTAACCAAGTGTGCATGTTTACTGATTTGTTTCACCAGAAATATCTATAGATAGATGATAGATAGATAGATAGATAGATGATAGATGATAGCTAGATAGATAGATGATAGCTAGATGATAGCTAGCTAACTAGCTAGCTAGATAGATAGATAGATATTGACTGGCAACTAGGCATAATCTTTATTCTGCACCACACAGTTAAGTAGTAGGCCTATTTTTAAAATCTGAAATTTTCTAGAAATCTTATTGCTTATCTTTTTAACTGAAAATTTTGATGCAAATCTCTAAGGCTAAGTAGTGTGGATTCAGCATAACCTAAGGTCTACCACCTATGTTAGCAATTCTAATTTGGGTACCCTCATAACCCTATCAGTAGAGCTCACAGGTATGCTTCAAGACACAAGACTGTATTGGAGCCTCAGCTTCAGGATCTGTCCTTCCAGTGAGCACTCAGGGCTGATTTCCTGAAGAATGGAGAGGTTTGATCTTCTTGCACTCCATGGGACTCTCAAGAGTCTCCTCCATCACCATAATTCAAAAGCATCAATTCTTTGGTGATCAGCCTTCTTTATGGTCCAGCTCTCACTTCCATACATCACTACTGGGAAAACCATAGCTTTTACTATGCGGACGTTTGTTGGCAAAGTGATGTCTCTACTTTTTAAGATGCTGTCTAGGTTTGTCATTGCTTTTCTCCCAAGAAGCAGGCGTCTTTTAATTTCATGGCTGCTGTCACCATCTGCAGTGATCATGAAGCCCAAGAAAGTAAAATCTCTCACTGCCTCCATAGTAGCCACCAATAGCCCTCTCCTCCATGAATTTGTCCAATCCTCTTTTAAAGTCCCAAGTCTGTCCCAAATCTTCCAAGATTCAGCTTCAACATTCACATTACCTGCACAAATCTCAGGACCCAGAGACCTTGCTGAACGAGACTCCCACATGCCAGGGGGTGGGGTGTCAGCGATTTAAGTTCTTTTCCCTGACGAGATGCAGAATATGTTGGAGGGGGAGATTTCCAGTCTCTGGGTTCTTTTCACGCTCTGTCTCTGCCCACTCAGGACTGGGGACTGGGCCCATAACCTGTTGGAGGGGGAGATTTCCAGCTGGTGGCAGAGGACAGAGTGACTCCAGGACACATAGGTGTAAAACCCCAAACTAAAACGAAGACTTTATTACAAAACAATAAACACAAACTCTGGTGGGTGTTATTCCTGCAGGCAGGCTACAAAACTCAGCTTTTTTCCTTTATAGCAATGGCCAGCTGCAGCCAATTAATCCCAGAAACTTCTTAAAGGTATACACACATGTTTCTGTGCCGAATGTCCCCTAACACCCCCTCTCAAACAGAAACAACAGTACTTTAAACATATACAGAACATTTTTACACATCACGCACAACAATTCCTAATTTTGCCACTAGTTGTGCATGTTTCTCAAAAGTTAGTTCTTTTGTAAATACATCAGCCACATTTTGCATACTCTCACAATACTTCAGCATTATCAGGTTTTGCTTCACATTTTCAGCCACATTTTGAAATTTAATTTCTAAATGCTGGGATTTGTTTCTAAACTGCTCAGACCCAGCCAAAGTTATTACGGCTTGATTGTCTTCCCATATTTGAACTGGATAATCACATTGTATATCTAAATCCTTGAGGATCTGAACATAAAATTTTATTTCATTACACAACTCTGATAAAGCACAGTATTCAGCCTCTGTTGAAGATGTGGCCACGATACCTTGCTTTTTGGACTTCCAACCTATCAAGGAATCCCCAAATTGAAATACCATTCCAGAAATTGATTTTCTATCAGGCAGGTTGGCCCAATCGCTGTCAACATAACACTGTAATTTTGTAGACCCTGAAGATGGTAATCTTAAACAATAATCAAGTGTTTGCTTTAAATACCGGAAAATACGTTTTAGACCTTTCCAGGCATTTTCTGTGGGACAGCTTACTAGTCTGCTCAGTATTCCAACAGCATAACTCAAATCTGGTCTGCTCCACAATGAAATGTATAGTAAACTTCCAACTATTGAATGGTACATTTCAGGATTTACAGGTTCTGTGCATTCTCTTTCATCCTTGAAAAAACCTATTTCCATTGGGGTTTTTACTCCCTTGCAGTTTTGCATATTGTTTCTATCAAGTAACTCCATTATTTTGTCTTTTTGACTCAACAAAAAACTTCCATCATTTGTTCTTTGAATTTCTAAACCGAGATAATTTTTTACTGGACCCAATTTCTTACTTTAAATTCCTTTCTTGGTTGTTCTGCAAACTTTTCCACTTGCTTGTCATTTTTAGTAGAGTATATCAAATCATCAACATTAGACAGACATAATTCTTGTTTATCACCCTTTCCTTTAGTGTACAAGCAGTTATCAGCTAAGCTTCTTTTAAAGCCAAGATTTTTTAAAACATTATCAAGACACTCGTTCCAATTTCTAGCTGACTGTTTGAGCCCATAAATTGCTTTGTTCAGCCTATATACAGAATTCTGTTTTCCTGCCTCAAAACCTGGTGCTTGATTCATAAAAAAATCTTCTTGCAGATTTGCGTTAAGCTGTTTCAATATCAAAATGGTTTACCTTAAACCCACGTTGTGCTGCAAGAGCTAGCAATAAGCGTACACTTTCGCTCCTTGCAGTAGGAGAAAAGGTTTCATCAAAGCTTTCACCTTTTCTTTGAGTAAAGCCTCGTGCTACCAGCCTAGCTTTGTATTTAACACCACCATCTGCCAAGTGTTTTATTTTATACACCCATCTACAGCCCACTGCCTTTTTTCCTTCTGGCAATGGCTCAATGGTAAACACATTGTGCTCTGCTAAAGATTTCATTTCTGCTTTCATTGCATTTTTCCACCTTACTATTTCCTGGTGTGGTAACTTTAAAACTTCTTCATAATCACAAGGTTCTTTCTTCACAGCAACAGTTTTAACTTCTTGTATAGTAAACCTTTCTGGAGGTACCCCCTTACTGCTTCTTTGTGATCTTCTAACTTGAACACTCTCCCCCTCTGAACTATCTTCCCCTTCTGATTCATCTTGCTCAGGAGAAATTGGTTCACCTTTAGGAGATTGTGTACTGGGACCCTCATCACTATCACTTTCAGAACTCTCTTTAATTTGTGGCTTTTCTTCCTCAGATTTCACAAATTTATCTGTATCATCAGAAGATAACACAACTTCTGAATTCCCATGTAAACGAGCCCAACCATCTTGCTCACAAAACATGTCTTGATATCACAACTCTGCCACGCCCTAGTGCAAAACGATACCCCTTTGACCAACTTTGATAGCCAACAAACCTAAGTCTCTTTGCCTTGGGTTCTCCTTTCCTTCTCTGTCCTTTTGGGATGTGAAGCCCAGCAACCAAAAGTTTTAACATGGTCTAAAAAGGGTTTTTTTCCATAAAGCAAAAATGAGGGGTATTGTTTATGGTAGAATGAAACAATCTGTTCTGTACGTAGTTAGCATACAGAATTCCTTCCCCCAAAAACTTCCTGGATAAGCCAGAATCACATAGCATAGAATCTAGCATTGTTTGCAAAAACCTTATATTGCGTTCTGCAACTGAATTTTCTTCAGGCGAAAACGGACACGATTTACGGTGACGAATACCACGCATTTTAAACCAGACCTGGAGGGCTTCAGACATGAACTCGCCTCCACGGTCACTCTGCAATTGGGTAACTTTGTAGGGAAACTGCCTTTCTATATAGTTGACCCAATTCTTAATCAGTTGACCAGTTTCACTTTTGTGTTTTAACAAGTATACCCAAGTATACCGGCTATAATCATCCACAAGAACCAAAAAAACCTTTGCTCCTCCTTCAGACTCTGCAAATGGCCCACAAAGGTCTGAGTGTACTAAAGCAAATGGCCTCTTGCTAATTCTAGTACTTTCAGGATAAGACCTCGCTTACTTTTAGACTCCTTGCAGGTATTGCAGTCTAGAAAAACTGAGCATTTTTTCATTTTAATTCCCTTACTTAATTCTGGCATTTTTGCAATACTGCGGAAATTGGCATGCCCCAAACGACGATGCCACAGATGCTGGCACTCATCATGCAAGGCTCTATTACAGGCTTTAACACATGCCCCAGAATCACTTACTAGCTGGTCTTTCAAAACAAACAAACCATTTTTTAGTGACGCTGTAACCACTTTTCCAGCTTTCTCTATTTTACAGCCTGAACCAGAGAAGGTTACTTTAAATCCCTGCTTAACAAGACTTGTAACTGAAAGCAAATTATTTTCTAAACTTGGTACACATAAAACATTGGTAAACTTGGTACTTAAACAGTTGATATTAACACTACCCTTTCCAGCTGACTCATGCACTGTTCCATCAGCTAGTACTACATTTACAGATTTACAAGGCTGCTTTTCTACAAGGGTTTGTGCAGACTTAACAAAAATGTTTGTCGCTGCTGAGTCTAAAATCCAGTCTTGTCCAACGTCGTGACTGGTGCCTCAAACTGCTGCAGAAACATACTGGACTCGACTCTTCCTGTCTCCTCGCTTCCCAGCAAACGCAGGCCGCCCTTTTCTTGTGTTTTCTCCCACAGACACAGTGCGCTGACGTACTAAATGCTTGGTTGACCCACAACGATACCATCTTCTGACTGTGAAAGCTGCTTCCTCTCTGTGGTCTACAACCTCTTTAGGGTGCCGCTCCTCATCAGTTGCATATCTTTTACTGGACTGCCTCCCATTTCTGGAGTTACGGTGGGGGGTTGTGGCCTTCCTCTCATGGCGTCTTTCCTCCTCATCAAGCAACCGCCCAGTTAAGAAATGCATTGTTAATTGGCTTTCTGGAATTGCCTCCAGAGTCATCACTAAATTGTCCCATGACTCAGGAAGTGAAGACAGCACAATAGAAACCTTTCTCTGTTCAGAAAAATGTTCCCCAAGTTCATTTAACTGTGAAAATAAATCACGCATTCTTTGAAGGTGTGTTGAAACACATTCACCCTCACTTAGTCTGGCTCGGTACAGAGCTCTCATTAGAGTAATTTTGCTGCCAGCAGTGTCTCTAATGTGTATCGCTCTCAGTGCTTGCCAAATCTCACTTGCTGTTTCAAGGTCTCGCACATGAGATAACTGAGACTTCTCTAAACTCAAAATTAAATTGGCATAGGCTTTGTCCTCCAGCCTTTGGTCTGCTTCATCTACTTCTTCATCCTCCTCTTTTACAGGAGGGTTAACAATAGCAGTCCAACACTGTTCTTTCTTTAAAAACGCCTGCATCTGTAAACTCCATGACATATAATTGGACTCTCCCAGTTTCTCTACTGGAAAATATGAAGCTCCCCCTTGAGCTCCAGCTCCAAGTCCAGCCATGGCTCCACCCAGCTTTCAGCTTTCCACTCAGTCCTTACTCACACGTGGCTTGAAGAAATGTTCGGCTCCTGGTCTCAAACAGACACTCCCTGCCGATGCCTTCACACAGCCAGCTGCTTGAGAAACGCTGAGTTGCTTCCAGTCTCTGGGTTCTTTTCACGCTCTGTCTCTGCCCACTCAGGACTGGGGACTGGGCCCATAACCTGTTGGAGGGGGAGATTTCCAGCTGGTGGCAGAGGACAGAGTGATTCCAGGACACATAGGTGTAAAAACCCAAACTAAAACGAAGACTTTATTACAAAACAATAAACACAAACTCTGGTGGGTGTTATTCCTGCAGGCAGGCTACAAAACTCAGCTTTTTTCCTTTATAGCAATGGCCAGCTGCAGCCAATTAATCCCAGAAACTTCTTAAAGGTATACACACATGTTTCTGTGCCGAATGTCCCCTAACAGAATAATGTATTTATTTTTAAATAAAGAAATTAAATACATTTACCTAAGTTTTAATGATGAATTCAAATTGCAGAGTTTGGCATTTCTTGGGGCACAATTATGGTTACTTTATCATAGACATTTGATCTTAAAAACTCTAAACGCATTTTATATCCACCCAAGGAGGACATGATTAGCTTTTGTCTGACTGCAAAGATGTGAATTTCCCCCCTAAACTAGATACCTTGTGTATATTATTATCATCATCATCATTTCATTTATAATCCGTCCATCTGGCTGGGTTTCCCCAGCCACTCTGGGTGGCTCCCAGCAGAAAGGAAAATTTTGGGTTGTTGTTTTTCTCAACATGTCCCTTTGATTTCAGTAGACTGGAAGAAGTGAACTCCACGGCACTTTGACATTTCTGCAATAGCTTCAAAACAAAAAGAGAGTCGGGCTGTTGTTGTTTTATTGAATTTAATATAAAACTTAAACCCAGGAACACACTCCTTGGGCTATTTTATATATTATTGAATTTGATACAAACATCAATTCTCTCTATTTCGCTCTCTCTTCTTTGTATTAGCCAGCCCTTCACAATTCCAATATTCTGAAAATACTTGTGCTAGCAAATTGGGCCAATACTTGAAACTATTGAGGGAGAAACCAGGTTTTAGTTTCATAAAGGAGACACTGTATGGTGAAATAGCTCTTGTTTAGCATATGTTGGATGTTCAGCTACCTTCTATTTCCAAATATTTGTGCATTTATTTAGTTTTAGATTTATAGTCACTTTTTGGCTCAACTGCACCCTGAAAGCAGGTCACAATACTTCTATGTGGATACTTCTATACTTCAGGAAACTAAAAGCAGCTGCTTGCATCCGATGAAGCTGATTGGTTCAGAACACACACCAGAATATACTTCCTCACACTGCCGCAACATGTGGTGAGGACCATTGGCTTAGATGACTTTAGAACAAGATTAGACAGATTCATGGAGGTTAAGGCTATCAGTGCCTCTGAATACCAGTCAACTGTAAGGGCTTATTCACACTTCCCTATTGTTACCTCCTGGCAAATAGAAGGGGAAGAAATGGAGGCAGTGAGAGATTTTACTTTCTTGGGCTCCATGATCACTACAGATGGTGACAGCAGCCACGAAATTAAAGGACGCCTGCTTCTTGGGAGAAAAGCAATGACAAACCTAGACAGCATCTTAAAAAGTAGAGACATCACCTTGGCAACAAAGGTCCGTATAGTTAAAGCCATGGTTTTCCCAGTAGTGATGTATGGAAGTGAGAGCTGGACCATAAAGAAGGCTGATCGCCAAAGAATTGATGCTTTGGAATTATGGTGCTGGAGGAGACTCTTGAGAGTCCCATGGACTGCAAGAAGATCAAACCTCTCCATTCTGAAGGAAATCAGCCCTGAGTGCTCACTGGAAGGACAGATCGTGAAGCTGAGACTCCAATACTTGGGCCACCTCATGAGAAGAGAAGACTCCCTGGAAAAGACCCTGATGTTGGGTAAGATGGAGGGCACAAGGAGAAGACGACGACAGAGGACGAGATGATTGGACAGTGTTCTCGAAGCTACCAGCATGAGTTTGACCAAACTGCCGGAGGCAATGGAAGACAGGAGTGCCTGGCGTGGTCTGGTCCATGGGGTCACGAAAAGTCGGACACGACTAAATGACTAAACAACAACAACAAATTGTTCTGCACTTTCCATGCTTAAAAACCCAACATCCAAGCATCTTTCTTTCTTTCTTTCTTTCTTTCTTTCTTTCTTTCTCCCTGGAGCTTTCCCCACGAACCCTCACTCTTTCGCACTCAATTGGAGCAAACGTCAATTTAGATTTTCCGCAGATTTGCATTTGCTCCTTCACTATATGAAGGGAACCATGGAGTGCTTACAATGGATGGAATCCACAAAACATTTGGAAATCTAATCAACCAAAAAAAATGTCCATTGCAACAGAAGAAAACCGATGATGCCCCAACAGCCAAACTCCTACACTGCCCCTGCCCAGGACAGATGAAAAACAAGCAAGCAAGTGATGTTGCCCCCCCCCATAGGAAACCCCTCCAATCAAACATCCCCCACATAATATTTATTAATAGTTTACAAATAATTGGGATGGGTAGATGACTTTGGTGAGTGTCAGAGGGTAGAGATAAATTTGTCTCCGGTCCAAATTTAGGGAATGGGTTTCCGGCTGGACTGTTCCCCAAAATGGAGAGAACTACCGTATTTTTTGCTCTATAAGACTCACTTTTTCCCTCCTAAAAAGTAAGGGGAAATGTATGTGCGTCTTATGGAGCGAATGCAGGCTGTGCAGCTATCCCAGAAGTCAGAACAGCAAGAGGGATTGCTGCTTTCACTGCGCAGCGATCCCTCTTGCTGTTCTGGCTTCTGAGATTCAGGATATTCTTTTTCTTGTTTTCCTCCTCCAAAAATTAGGTGCGTCTTGTGGTCCGGTGCGTCTTATAGAGAGAAAAATACGGTAATCAATTCTAGAAGCAACCATAGCTGAAATGCCTGTAGGTGACAGCCCAAGCTAATAGTGCTATATCAGTGTACACAAGTACAATATGTCCAACAAGAACTTGTACTCTACTGCACTGTCATCTGTGATCCTGGCAGCAAGAAGTCTCTGCAAAGGCTTAACCGGGTCTAAGAATGGCGGGGAAATCAAATGACCTCATGGCTGATTCCAAAAAGCCATGTCATCCTCAAATTCAGGCATCTATTGTGGGGTTTGCCTTGGTGGAACAGATGGCTTGAATTCTGAATTTTTCAGTATTCAGTACAACCTGGCGGTAGCCAGACAAAAGAAAGTGCTACATGCTAGAAAGGGGTGGGGCAGGAATAAAACAGAGGCTGGATACTTCTTTCCGTTGTTTTTTTATGGGTATTCCTATGTCATGCTTGCAGTTAAGTGGTAACACTTATTTGGAGGATAATAATAATGATAATTATAATAATTTATTATTAATACCCCGCCCATCTGACTGGGTTTCCCCAGCCACTCTGGGCTGCTTCCAACAAAAGATTAAAATACAATAATTCATCAATTATTTAAAACTTCCCTAAACAGGGCTGCCTTCAGATGTCTTCTAAAAGTCAGGTAGTTGCTTATTTCTTTGACATCTGATGGGAGGGCGTTCCACAGGGCAGGCGCCACTACCGAGAAGGCCCTCTGCCTGGTTCCCTGTAACTTCACTTCCCTGTAACTTCGCTTCCCGCGGTGAGGGAACCACCAGAAGGCCCTCGGAGCTGGACCTCAGTGTCCGGGCAGAACGGTGGGGGTGGAGACGCTCCTTCAGGTATATTCATTTTTTATAATTAAAAGGTCTGGTAAAGTCCACTGTGTTTCACATGTGGTACCTGTGCAGTCAGAATTAAGTACCACTGAGTTTTCTCTGACAAAACTGTGCAGAGGATTGAAGGCAAGGCATTTTGCTAAGTACAGTGGTACCTCGGGTTACAGACGCTTCAGGTTACAGACTCCGCTAACCCAGAAATAGTACCTCGGGTTAAGAACTTTGCTTCAGGATGAGAACAGAAATCGTGCTCCAGCGGCGCGAGGCCCCATTAGCTAAAGTGGTACCTCAGGTTAAGAACGGACCTCCAAAATGAATTAAGTTCTTAACCCGAGGTACAACTGTATTGCTGTTCTTCAGTGTATGTGTGCATTGGAACGGGTGTGCATTGGAACAATAACATGCCTGCGTTTTTGGACTCTGCTTGAGCGTATGGGAGGTTGCCATGATGAACTCCAAAATTTTCCACTTCATCACTGCTGGTGTTGGGGGCGGGGTGAGGACTAGTGCTGCCATATTTGAGCCTGGCAAATGATGGAAAACCTGCCCATTCATCGCATCAGTGGAGCAAAACTAGAAAGATATAAAGGAGGTTATTGGGACCACATTATAATCACAGCTATTGAGTCACATAATTTTCATTCTTAAATATAGAGGTGGGAAGCCAGACACTGATGCCTAATCATTATAGCCTCTCATTAGCCTACACAGCAATTTCTGTTTTCAAACTGAGTAATAGTTTGTATTATATTTCTGCAAACCATCTTACCCTTATTAGTTTTTAAATTATTATTTTAAAGCAGACTTGCTCTTCGCTGTCTTCAGAAGCGGCTTTCGCTTACATACCCTTTTTATGAAACAGACTTGCACAGGAATGCAATTCTGTCTCCTTCACAAAAGGTTTGAACAAATTCTATCAATAATACGGTTACTATACAGCACCCAATGACAAACCTAGACAGCATCTTAAAAAGTAGAGACATCACCTTGCCAACAAAGGTCCGTATAGTTAAAGCTATGGTTTTCCCAGTAGTGGTGTATGGAAGTGAAAGCTGGACCATAAAGAAGGCTGATCGCCGAAGAATTGATGCTTTTGAATTATGGTGCTGGAGGAGACTCTTGAGAGTCCCATGGACTGCAAGAAGATCAAACCTCTCCATTCTGAAGGAAATCAGCCCTGAGTGCTCACTGGAAGGACAGATCCTGAAGCTGAGGCTCCAACACTTTGGCCACCTCATGAGAAGAGAAGACTCCCTGGAAAAGACCCTGATGCTGGGAAAGATGGAGGGCACAAGGAGAAGGGGACGACAGAGGACGAGATGGTTGGATAGTGTTCTCGAAGCTAAAAGCATGAGTTTGACCAAACTGCAGGAGGCAGTGGAAGACAGAAGTGCCTGGCGTGCTCTGGTCCAGGGGGTCACGAAGAGTCGGACACGACTAAACGACTAAACAACAACAACATACAGCACCCAAAATATGAGTATTCCATAAGGCCTATCATCAGGTGAGTGATACTAACTGGGACACTATTATAGACCCTGTTAAAGCCATGGTGAGTATTAATTTTGCATCAAAGACAGTAAATAGTCACTAGTTCACCTTTACTTTACTTCACTGACAATGAATCAAATCCTTTTCTGCTGTTCTCTGCCCAATATCCACAGTAATTGGCAAGTATGTTAAAAGGCCTGCTGTTTATGATATGTGCTTCAACATTTATTAACTCTTATCACTTTTTTCCCCTACAAGTG